CCTGTTCATCTCCCCGGGGGGGAGAATTTCGACATGTATATTATATAAAAACACGTGCGTATTCGAATGCAGCGTTGTGTGAAAATTTCAAAGGAATCGGTAGGAACAAACGAACATTACATTTTTATTTATATAGATAGATAGAAGATGATCTGCTTTAGTTCATTTTCACAGAAAAGCATAATGCTTCACAGAAAAGCAAACTTAGGGCGTCGTACTCGTAGCGGCATCTGTTGACATAAAAGCCTTAACCTAGATTATATATTTTAATTTGTATGAATGTTTAACGGAATAATATACTGTACAGCCTATGTCCACACCGAGGTTCCATTCTAAATATTGGTGAAAGAATTTTTGAAATCGGATGAGTAGTTTCGGAGATTACCCGCTGCAAACAAACTTACAAACATTACCTCTTTATAATATTAGTATAGAAAAACGCGCGTATTTGAATGCAACGTTGTGTCAACATTTCAAAGCAATCGGTTAAGAACTTTTAGAGATTTAAAATTTTGAACAAACGAACATTTAAATTTTTATTTATATAGATTTTAATAGTAAATTTCATAAAATAAAAATTATGTATTACTTGCACCACTCAGTAAGTACAGTAAAACACGATGAACAGTTGTGAAATGTATATGCAAAAAAAAAAAAAAAAAATAGACAAAGTTATTGTGAGAACGTCACAATGCTGGGATGCCATTTTTTTTTTATCATATTTTAATTTAAATTGATTGGGGCTGGAGGCCCCGAAGCATTCCATATTGTCCCAGTACATCACACTTCTCGGTAACAATCGAGCCATGCTGGTCAGCTGACTAACTCCGTTCTCGAAGAAATTTTAAATTGAAACTTAATGATTCTCGGTCCAAACAGGAAGTTCGTATATTGTTAACGGGATAGAATTTCCATTATTTGTATTGTAAATACATATATTAGATCCTACCGTGTTGCCCTTTTTTTGAGTCGTCTGTATAGATAAGTTCGCAATTTTTTAAGATGAATTCGGAGCTCTCACCATGGTTCATCTTCATACATGCTTCTATTTACACGAAGAGAACCGTGTAAAAGGAAGCAATTTCCGCTTGATAGCAATTTCCAATGTCTGTAGGCATCAAATAGAGCGAAGTGGCTAGTTGTACGTTTGAGTTTAATTTCTTCACGTAGAATGTTCTTAAATAAAATTTTAATGTTTCTCGGTTTGCTTACTAGAGGTACAGAGTAAGTTCTGGCAGTATAAGTAGGGTATTTGATGAAACTGGTCTATAAAATTTTGTGATTTTTTAAGCGAAGATTCTTTGTGTGTTTAAGAATCTTGCAGCTATGTACTTCAGAAGGTCGTGTCCTCATGATGAAACCGTGTAGAATAACAGGTTGAAAATTTTACATGCTTATAAGTTATGCTGGGCAATAAACTGGCTAGATGTGGCTCCTTCCAAGTCTAGCCACTTTATTACCCAGCATCCTGGTCTTACCAAAAATATAATCCACGTGGTCTTTGCAACTGCGTTTTGTGTCAAGGATGACACCTAAGACTTGTATTTCTTTACCTACTCAGAGTGGAGTTGCTTAAATAGACTGTCCGAAACTGATATTTATATTTACAGTACTTGTAAACAGCGAACCTTTAGATTTACTTGAGTTAAATTCTAAGTTGAGAGTTTCTTCCATTAGTATCAATGTGGTTAGGGTTCTTTCTTGGTTAGATTGCACAGTAGGAATTGAGTCACGCTAATTGACTGTTGCGACGCCATTTGCATAAGCTATTAGTCTGGTGTTTTCAGAGAATTTTGTTTGAAATAACTTGTTCAGAAGTACATTACAGAGAAAGGGTGACAACACTTCTTGACGTGTTGACTTTGTTAATTTCCTATTAATAGTGATTCCATAATATCTTATGACTAAAGTTTTTTCATGTAAATAAGATTTGGTAAGTTTTAATAGATAGAGAAGACAATTAAAAAGACCGGAGACCATTATCAAAGGCCCTTTAATATCAAGAAAAACTAGCGCAATGAATCTGTATCTAAAATTGCATCTTCCGCTGACTTGCCAGGTACAAAACTAAATTGGTTAGAGAGAACTAGTGTAAGAATTATTTTTCCCGAACTCTGTGCATTATAGAAAGAAGGATGGCAGGTAAACATTCATTAGAAGTGTTTGGCTGATTACATTCCTTTTTTCAATAGATGTATTTTGGCTGCTTTCTACCATGTTGGGAAAATGGAAAGCTTTTAAACAGGAGTTATGTACCTCGTATAAAAAGAAAAAAGAAACGATTAATAATGGTAGAATAAGGTTTCTGAAGAATATTAAGGTCTGGGTGATCATCTTGGAGATCTAGACAGGTAGTAACAAGTTTGTTAGCGTGGTCTCAAAAAGATTCCAGTATTTTTTAAAACTATGCCTTTGTGCATTGTCTTGAGAACTTCATTGTCTATTTCCAATTTCAAAAGAGAAGGCGCTCTGGTCCGGTTATATTTCCTCCACTACAGATCAACTTTGAAAGTGAAAGCAGTTTCTTAATTATAGTAAATTCTTGTTCAGGTAAATAATTAAAATACAGCCTTCCTCTCACGTTGTCAGTTTATATAATGAAACATAAAAATTCGAAAAGAATTAAATATCTGAATCGAAAATTATAAAATACTGTAGATTTTAAAATTTGAAATAATACTTTTTACATGAATTTCCTTTTACTTCTGAAAATATGTGGTTAAATAATCGCAGATTTTCTTTTTATTACTCATAGTACAGTTACAATGAATTTCAAAAGTTTATTTCTTTAGAAAATTCGGAAATATGTATTGCAAAGTACAAGTTAGTCAAGTGTTTATCATCTTATTGCGTTAATCAAAAGATACATTTCAGAAAAAACAGTATCTTAATAACTAAAGTTTCACAATATTCGAAAACATTAGTTTAGAATTAAAAATTAATAATTTAAGGCTTATACGAAGATCCAACAGAAAGATTTTCATGTATTAATGTACCAAAAACCAGGAAAAATTTTATTTAATATTAAAAATGACGTTTATAAATATTTCTTATATTTGTATACTCTAAGTCTAATAAATACTCTAATAAAACCGGATTGTTTTATCGTTTCTTCACTGTGAATTTGCACTTCAGTTGCTAAATTCTCGAGGGAATTTGATTTTACAATGGAACCTGGTTAACTGAAACCGGGATAACTTGAAGTCATTTTCTTTCCCCGATCATTCAGCATAGGAATTTACACGTTAAATCAAACTGTTAACTTGAATTCGTCGAAGTGAATAAACTCCTGTCACGTGACACGATGTTTATTTTTAGTCGTACATGGCGGAGGTGGTGGCTTCCAGACAGGGTGTGCGAACTAGGATGCGTTCGTTAATAGCGGTCGCTCCCCGTCTCCGACATCACAGGCATGCGCAGCTGTCTGTAGGCATTCGGGACATTCCAATTTTCAACGCTGACTCAGCGGTGATCTCAACGTACGTTAATTTAAAATTCGTTCCTTTTTTCAACGTTGAGGTAGCGCTGTTGTCAGCGTTAACTCAACGCACTCAGCACTCAACAGATATGTTGACTGCTACTTTCCAATGAATTGTGGGTAATTGGTAAGATATTTGAATGGAATCCATCTTGCTGAGAATGGAATTTTGGAAACTAAGCACTTCGTACTAAAGCGCCTTACTTCGTACTGGAGTTGGAACGTCGTTGATGACGTCAAATTGTTGACTTTAACACTCAACACTCGCGTTGAAAATTGGAATATCTCGATTTGGAAACGACGGTGAAAGAATGAAAAAAACTGGCGGAACCCATAGTACCGATAGATAGTATCATGATGTAGGAAATCCATGTTTCTAAAATATGCGTTTTTACAGACAAAAGTTAAAAGAAGGGTCCGAATTGTAAAATTTAACCATAAATGGATTATCTTACCGACAGAGCATTCAAAGTAGCCACGAAAAAATTAGAATATCGGCTACCATTTGAAAAAAATTCCAGAAGACACATTACCGCGTGCATTAACACGCGCTTTTACAACTTCTAAATTTTCATTCATAAAAGCAAAATGGACACTGAAACGAAATTATCCGAGCCATGGAGGACGCCATCTTACTTTCCACCGTAAACTTCTACTACAAGCGGCCTTTTTTGCGGTCCGACTACTCGGGTGCGCACTCCGGCCGGAATACAGGAACCATTTCGCAGAGATGTTTAAACGGATGCCACTCGCGCGGAGTTACGTCGAGAAATAAAAGAACACAGCCCTTGCCGGCTCGGTATTGTCAGCTAGAGAGTAACGCATGAACATTGAATTTTCTTGGACAGAGCGTTACTCATCTTTGGATTACTTGTTATATGATTATATCCAAGCGCAAACGAATTGTTTCGACTTCTATACACGAAGATGCATTTTATTATAATCTCTCAAAAATTTTAAATTAATACAATTACGGCCTATTATTTATCTGAAAATGCAAAATCCCGAAAACATTTGTGTAAACAATGGTAAAAATTGCTACGAAATATGAAAACATTTATGGGAGCATGGAAGCACAAGCATGGTTGCATGTGCTTCCATGCAACCATTCGATGGTTGCATGGCCGAAGCACATAATAATGTTTACATATTTTAAATTATTTATTCACTAGTATATCTTCAAATACATTATCAGAACAGTAAATAAATGAATTAATCTATTTTATATATGAAGTAAAGGCAACGAAGCGGTGGTTTATTGATTATTGGTAGCCTAGTCATTTATGGCAGGCTGCGAGATGGCCGAGAGGCTAAGGTGTCAGCCTACCGCTTTGGTGGATCTGTAAATGCTTCCGGACGGACGAAAAACACCCAAGAATTTGTTTTTTGGGATGGTCATATGTTGGACTTGGCAAAATCCACGATAGATTTACTAAAAAAAATTTTTATTAGTGTCCGTAGTGATAAAAAATGTGTACGATATAAAACTTTTCCCAACGTGGCAACACTGTTATAGCCTCATTTGTATTTGGCGAAAATAAAGCAGACAGGAAGAAGGTTTGTTTTGAAGTATTTTATTTTTCTTTGGGGATTTCATATATTTTACGAAGATGAACTATTCGATGTTTATGTATGGCTGTAATAACAATTTAAAAATGCCCGCTTTCAGTAACGTCTCGAGTGTTATTACTCGATTACAATTAACCGGAGAATTATTTACACATACAGTTGTCCCTTGATAATACGACAGGTATGGGACCAAAGGTGTGTCAGATTACCAAAAGTGTCCGGATTACCGAAAATAATTACATATTTCGCATTGTTTTGCTAGCAGTAACTTACAATATTCTCTACTCCAACTGTTCGAACAGAACTGCTCACATAAAACACACGAAATGTGTCATCGAGTAAGAATTGGATGGGGAGATTCACATCGCGACATGCTTCTGTGCAAGCAGACACGTAACAGGGACGGGTACCTTGATGGGAGGTGCGTCGGACTACTGAGCATGTCGGATTAAAAAACGTCGGACTATAGAGGGACAACTGTATTTTAGTATTCGTTTTTGTTTGTTTGTTTTTTAAGTTATGGCAACGCAACACTTGGGCAATCTGCCTAGGGGAGGTCTTTTAAAAGGAAACTGGCCCCTATTTAGGCGTTACAGACATGGAGAAAACCCAGAAAGCTCCACGTGGCCATCCTGTCCAAGCGAGGCGCGAACCCACGACAGAACTCCCATTGTTTAGGGTATGAAGACAGCTCAGCCACTGGTGGACGTTTATTTCAGTATTCCAAATTGATTTAAAAAATAACATTTATATATAATACCGTACATATGCATGTTTTGAATTTTAAGGTTGAAATTTATGTGATTTTAATGCCAACAATGCCACCTGTGATGCAAAATTATCAAAACGAGATATTCTGGGGGCTACTGTAAAATATTAAACTCAAAAGGGCCCAATCAAAATAAGTTAAGAAACACTTCTTTATACTATGTCCAATAAGAATTGATAGAAATAATTTCAAGAATAAATTTTCATTTGAAAAAAGTTTCCATCTACAATGTTATAACTTTTAAGGTTTAATAAAGTTTTGCCATAATACTCTAAATTACTGATAGTCTCGGGTAGTAGAAATTTAAAAAAATATTTGTCGATTATTTTTTTGAGAATTTATTAAGTTATCTTGCAACGGTGTATTGTCTCGTTTGATGTTTACATTATTATTTTCTTATTTGTTACAGAAGTCATGGGTAAACGTTACTACTGTGATTATTGTGATCGAGCTTTTCCCGACAGTGCCCAAAATAGAAAGAAGCATCTTCAAGGCGTTCATCATCAAAAACTTATAAAACTGCACTACGATTCTTTCAGAGGTAGGATTAGTTCTATATTTTATTTTGTGTAATTATTTTAAAAGATTTCTGCTTTAGGTATACTTTGAACCCTAACAGATTACAACTATGGAGATGGCATTAACAAACAATGCTTTGGATAATAATATATCTGAATAATAGTCTAAGTTAGAACTTCACCAATATATGAAGACACTAAGCACACCTTATATACTTTTCCAGTAACTAAATTTAATCAAAACAAACGTTTTTTGGCCTGATTAATAAGCATTCATCAGATTACAGAACCAAATTTAAATAGAGATTCTATTTTTCAAATAAAATATTCTTTGACTTAAATTAAGTTTTTTAAATCATAATAGTTTTTGATTTTCCAATATAATCAAAAATTATGTAAAATAAAATACAATTAATTATACAAAATAAAAATAGAAATACAATTAAGGATAAAAATAAAATGACAATAAATTAATTTCATTTATTGTCATTTTATTAACCCTACTGGTTATGAAAACACTGTTTTTACTGTATAGCATGTCACATCTTTAGGGAGTTATTGAATAATGACTACCATGCAAAGGATAGTGTCACATGATGTCTGCTATTAATGCATTGTTCTCTTTATGTAGATTTAAAAATCTCTAATATCTCCACAGTTTGTAATTTGAGTTCATTGTATATCTGTTTTATAAGTTGGGCTTTGTTGAAATCCTCTGACACCTCTGATCATTTATTTTTGTTGATGTATTTATATTCTCTGATCTTATGCACTAACACTTATTAGTTTAGCCAACAAAGGTAAATTGTCTATTGAATCTACTGTTGTAAATAGGGATAGAGTATACCCAGGGGCTTTATTTGTGTCAATGCAATCTTTATCATTAGTTAATAATCTGTATACTGTTGTACCACATTTGCATGCTACACAAGTACCTACATACTTAGCAATTAGTACATATATGGATCTCAGTCTGCCCCGATTATAATCTAAAACTGTGCATTTAGCTGTCTGTGTGTCACTTGTTTATTTCATATGGATGTATACTATTGGTCCATCTAACCTGCTGTGCTACAGATAAGTTTTTACTGTATCTGCATCTGATTGCAAATTTTTTATGCACTCCAGCTCTTTCTTTCATGGTGTCCTTAATGATGGAGCAGTATGTATAGGCTCATTTTACTAACACACTAAATCTCTAACAACTCAGATGCATGTAAGTGTATCTGAGTTGTTAGAGATTGCTGGAATAAAAAGTGGTAGATATCTATCTAGCCTTGTAGTAGACAATTGTGTTCACAAGCTCATTCTTGAAAGTGATGTTAATTTTCAGGAAAAGAGCCTTTGTGTTGCTGAGTTGGTCTAGCTTTAAAGTCTGTAGCTGTAAAACATAGAAGTTGTTAAATGCCTGTAATAATCTGTTTATATCCAGCTTCAATTTCCATCTACATAATGGGTGTATACTACCTGGCAAAAATGTCTGGAGTTTTCTGGATTGTAGTTCCCTTACTACTAATTTGCATGAAATAAATTTATAAATTTCCTGAGATAGATATCCCGTGAGAATGCCTTGTCATTGCAGGTAAGTATGTTTGTTAAAAGAAAGATGTGTGCCAACTCTAAAATAATTTGATGATATGACAATACTGCAGGAACAATCTGAAATAAAAAGATCACATAGAGCACAGAAACAAGACTCAAATCTAATAGATGGAAACATGGAAATAAAATCTAGAACAGTGAGATATTCATTATCCATCAAAGTGATTTCATTTAATTGGGTTAACATTTCTTGTGGGTTTTTGATTGAGTATTTATATTCCTTTGGGTGTTGTTCTAGTATTTTATGTATTTGCTTCTCAATGGCAAAGACTGATCTGAATTGTTTCCCCTGATGATCTGAATTGTTTGCCCTGCTTGTGTGTCTTAGCAAAAGTAAAGAACCTCTTGGTGTCAGGAGCACAAATAACAGTGCTTAATTCACCATTGTTTTTATGATGTCAAGAGATCATTTTCAAGGCATAAAAGTGTTGTTAAAGTGAACCAATTATAATTGGTTCACATTAACAACACTTTTATTGAAATATATTGCAATGTTTAGGTTTTCTTACAATAAATAATAACTAAATAGTTTATAGTAAATATTTAAGCACATATTTTGATTATTTTTGTGTCATATATGCACATAAAAGGCAGTTTTAGCTGTTAAAAATCTGGGTTTTATTTATATAAAATATTTATATATTCTAGTTTAGTATGTAGTGTTTATTTTACTATACTACTAAGAGACAGAATTGCATCAATTAAAAATTTATTTTCATATAAAAGAAAATGTTTAGATTGTGAATTTCAATATAAGTATATAATCCATATAATCCATTACATTAATTTGATCTGCTTTGATTACTTAAAATGTTAATTTTAGATGCAGCAACTTTGTTACAAAATGAAATGTCAAAGAAGCCTTGTCGAAAATTTAAGCAAACAGGTAAATTATTTTGTCTGGTTTATTTATTAATTAAAAAAACAATCAATAATTTTAAATATATTAATTTGTTTAATTTAAATTTAGAATATTCTGGAAGAAAAGATTGACCTGGAATGGGACTCAAACCTGCAGTTCCTACTTATCATGCAGATGCATTGCCAGTTACACTATCCATATCTCTATCAGATCTTTGCTTCTAGAATTATTAATTAATTTCGATATCAGATATGACCATACTGATCTCTCATGGTGCCAACTAAGGAGGACTTTAGTATCATAACCCTCCATGGCTCTCAGCCAGTTTTTGCTTTACTTCAACTTGGTGTGTATGTGTGTGTATGTTACCGCTAAAGCTCGAAAGTCGTTAATGTGTACATTACCTGGCTAATCTGCAGATTAACTAAGGTGATCTGTTAAAGTTGTGAAAATTGTTCCATTTCTCAAATTACCTAGATAATGTGCGGAGTATCTAGGTAATCCGCACATTACCTACTAGACACTCAGTAAAGTGAAAATAAGATCTTTGCCACAAATAAATGTACCACAAATAGGTGTGCTTGTTGCAAAAACCAATTGCTATGAAATTCAAAGTGTCACCAATCTTTAGACTGCACAATTGGATAAAGTTACCTATGGTGAGTAAAATGGCGGCTCGTCTCTGATTCCAGCAAACAGAAGAAAGGAAACAGTGGGGACGCACGTTCAAACCCAACCTAACCTATTCTAATAATTTGGTTGATAATAATTATGGTAATTATTAGAATAGGTTAAGTTAGGTTAGAACATGTGTCCCCACTGTTTCCTTTCTTCTGTTTGCTGGAATCAGAGACGAGCCGCCATTTTACTCACCATAGGTAACATTAACTGTACAATTATATCACGTGATCACCAGAAAAAGCATGATAACTTTATTATTTTTTGTCTCCGGTCCAAAAGTAGGGTATCGTTGAAGTCGTCTTGGTCCCCTCAGTTCATATAGATACTCTAAGTCCTGAAATTCCATAGGTGGTTATCTAATTGTATTAATATTTTAAACCATTTGATTTTTTGTATGTTTTTTAATTGGATGATGATTGATTCTATCAACTAATTTGTTGATTGTTTGATTGTATTAACTTGATTCTTTAGATATCGAAAATTAAATAAAGAACATTATGTTAATTTAAGCGTACAGAAATGTTACTGTTGATCCAGCAAAGATCTTATATTCACTTTACCGAGTGCCTAGTAGGTAATTTGCAGATTACCTAGATAATCTGCATATTACCTAGGTAATTTGAGGAATAGAACAATTTTAGCAACTTTAACGGATCATCCTAGTTAATCTGCAGATTAGCTAGGTAATGTACACATTAACAACTTTCGAGCTTTAGCGGTAACATGTATATACACTAGCTGATACCCACAACTTTGCCCGTGGGGGTTTTGCAAGCAAACCCCATTTATATTCAGTATTTCAACAACCATAGTAATTGTTATATAACACTGCTGAGAATGATGAGATTTGCTGAGAATCATACAAACTATTTTCAATTTGATCAATTTTCTGGAATGTTTTCAATCATTCTATAATTGAACCAATATGCAATAACAAATTTGAATTTAAAATGGTTCGAACATTTAGTTAAAAAATCAAAATATATAAAAATATTNGTATTTTATTTTTGAGTCGAAAGGAAATATTTTCAAATACTTGGAAATGTGTGAATGAGGAAGGAATACTAAATAAATCTAAAGTTGAGACTCATAGAATTATAGTCCCAAATTCGAGGAAAGGAGAGAAAGGCCAAAAGATAAAACGTAGTGAGAAATATTAAATAGACTTTCTGTTATGCAAATATGGACCCTTAATTTTCCAACCTTCCTCACTTCTTTATCTTTTGTCCTTTCTCTCTTTTCCCTGCATTTGGGTCTATAATCCTTTGAGTCCAACTCCGGCTTTATTTAGTATTTCTTCCAGGTTTGCATGATTTGGCTACTTTGCGCCAAAGTTGGCTACCCTTTTTTCGATTTGCCATAAAAAATATCATTTGGCGCATTGGCTATTTTTTGGGCTACATCTTATTTATAAATATATTAGTCNGGTCGCCTAACTCGCCGTAGCGTGACGCTAGACGGCGAAAAATATATATTTAATTATAATAAAGTTACAATAAATTAAGTTAATATATAATTATATATACAGTACCTAATTTATATATAATTAATATATAATTATATGTACAGTACCTAATTTATATATAATTTATATAATACTGTCCAGACGATAGAAATCTCTCCGTAGCGTGGCGCTACGGACGGCGGGTAAGTAGTTCGGCTGCCCGATGACGTTTTACGTATTATAGGAGTTATTTTTACCGTTGTTTACGGATAATGCCACAATTTTTATAGGAATCATAACTATAGGAAACGCTTTTATAGGGGGATCTACTGTATATTAGTTGAATAAAAATGCACTTTAAAATGGTGTTTTGTCACTTTTTATTAATTAGAGACCCAAATAAAACAAACATTTGTGTTTTTCAAATAAATTTTTGTTTGTCCCTTTTATAATAAATGATTTTATCTAAATCTAAGTAAAAATTAAGTGTCTGTAGAAGTAATTTTTTAAAATATCCTTTTTTGTGATAAAGTTTTAATACTTATTATTATAATCTAGACATGTTAATCCTTAAATATACTTGTGTTTTGGGCCACAAGTATATATTATATATACTTGTGGCCCAAACCCCTTGCTAAATTCAATTGTCATCCATTGATTTGTGTTATTCTGCTGTTATTCATTCTGTGCATTTGACACTTCTTTGAAGATGATGTCAAATCCAATGTGTTTAAAACAGTTTTTGTTCCCTTGGTTACTGTTACCCATCCAGCTTTAAGAATGTGCACTGCCTGAAGTAAGTTTTTCTTGAAAGAATGATTAGTGTGATGCTGCAATCTTCCATCAAACTAGCACTAACTTGTAGTAATCAGGACAAGCAATTTTATATACAGTATTTAGATAATGAGTTCTTATGTATGTACTGTAGAACTTCCTTTCTCAGGAAAAATCCTTGTTAATAGGCAAACTTGCTAATAAATAAACTCTCTTTGGAATACAATACTGTATTTATTAATTTCTTAATTATTTACAATTTATTACAAAAATCTGTACAGGTAACCCCCGTATAACACGGTAGTTATGTTCCAAAAAATTGCCGTGTTATGCGAATCCGTGTTATACGAAACAAAGAACTAATACGAAAAGGAGGGTTAGGTTCCAAAAATTAAAAAACATGCTAGTATATTTTCATAATTAAGATAAATATCTTCATTAAAATTTTTTAAGTGATACATATTAATATAAATTAAACAATGTTTTCTTCGTCATCACTAAAAACACTATTAATTAACCGAGAGCGTTTTCTTTTTGGCAAGTTATTCTTATCCTCTGAGCATTTTTCTGCATTATCTTCAGATCCATGCTTTACCTTTTGCAAAATGTATGTAATTTTAGATTGCTTGCTTCTAGTTAAAAGGTCTTTATAAATTTCCTTATATGGTGCTAAGTACTTATGAAGAATAAAGCAAGTATGGAATAAGGGAAAAACATTCGGCAGCATCAGAAGCAGAAGCGTCGCGATCTGGCAACATTGAAACAAGTTTCGAGAAGAACCATGTGTATCGACAGAAGGCGAGAAGAGAAAATTTACATACTGAAGTACTAATAGTTCACGAAAATTATTATTTTCGTGAACTACTATTACTTACGTATGTAAAAATTTATTACATTTCCTGTTGTATGAGGATTTTACCCAATTCTCGAACCGTGTCAGAGTAAATCCGTGCTATAAAAGTACCGTGTTATACGGGGGATGGTACCAATTCTCGAACCGTGTTAGAGTGAATCCGTGCTATAGAAGTGCCGTGTTATACGGGGGATGGTACCAATTCTCGAACCGTGTTAGAGTGAATCCATGCTATAGAAGTGCCTTGTTATATGGGGGTTACCTGTAATTGATTTCATTGTTTTTTTTATCATTGCACAATTCTGTTAAAAATTCTTCAACTTTCTATAGAGTGAAGTGCAGTTGAGTTATTGCCATGAGATTTGAAGTTTTGGATGCTTGGATGCAGGCAGGCACAATCTCAGTTTTGTTTATTGCCTCTCATTGTTTTCCTCTGTAGCTTGAATTTCATCTCCATATACTTCAGGCAGGATTGTTTCTTCCGAGCACATTTTGGCTCTGATAAGGTTTGTGTCAATATCTAGTTCAGGGATGTCCAACCCATGGCCCAAGGCAAGTTCCAATGTGGCCCAATAAATGTGTAAACAAACCTGACAAATGTTTTAATTTTTTTTATTATTTATTTATTTCAACGGCATAAACTCAAAAAAAAGTTTCACAAAGCTGTAAACCTTTATTCATATTTTTGAGTGGAAAGGAAATATTTTCAAATAATTGGAGATGTGAGAATGAAGAAGGATTATTAGATAAAGCTGGAGTTGTGACTCAAAGGATTATAGACCCAAATTTGGGGAAAGGAGAGAAAGTACAAAAGATAAGTAGTGAGAAAGGTTAAATAGATCTGTTATGCAAATATTGACCCTTAATTTTCCAACCTTTCTCACTTCTTTACCTTTTGTCCTTTCTCTCCTTTCCGCGCATTTGGGTCACAACTACAGCTTTATTTAGTATTCCTTCCAGCGTTGCAAGATTTGGCTACATTGCGTCAAATGTGGCTACTTTTTTTTAGTTTGACATAAAAAATATCATTTGGCACTTTGGCTACTTTTTGGGCTACATATTATTTATAAATACAGTAGATCCCCCTATAAGACGGTAGATACGTTCCGTTCTTTATGAATCAATTTTGTAGGAATCATAGTTTACGGACTACGGCTGTTTGAAAGGTTTTCTTTCATAAAATTAATCGATTCTAGACTAATTCGACTCAACATTTCCAAAATACGTATATTTTTTTTAAAATAATCCGTATAAACTACGTTATAAACAAAAAATTGTAGGATTACTTACCGAGTGTGTACCCTTTGACTACGCTCGTTGCTAAAGCTTGGTTTCGTCGCGGAACAGCGCATCAAATTGCGGCCGCGATTTCTGATATTATTTTTCTGCGAAAACTTCGTTGACCTTTGGAGACATCATTAATATAAATAATTTTTATGGCCGTTAAATAAGAAATGTTTCTTTCACAAGAAATGTATAAAATTACAGTACTAAACAGACGATAGGTCGCCTAACTCGCCGTAGCGTGACGCTAGACGGCGAAAAATATATATTTAATTATAATAAAGTTACAATAAATTAAGTTAATATATAATTATATATACAGTACCTAATTTATATATAATTAATATATAATTATATGTACAGTACCTAATTTATATATAATTTATATAATACTGTCCAGACGATAGAAATCTCTCCGTAGCGTGGCGCTACGGACGGCGGGTAAGTAGTTCGGCTGCCCGATGACGTTTTACGTATTATAGGAGTTATTTTTACCGTTGTTTACGGATAATGCCACAATTTTTATAGGAATCATAACTATAGGAAACGCTTTTATAGGGGGATCTACTGTATATTAGTTGAATAAAAATGCACTTTAAAATGGTGTTTTGTCACTTTTTATTAATTAGAGACCCAAATAAAACAAACATTTGTGTTTTTCAAATAAATTTTTGTTTGTCCCTTTTATAATAAATGATTTTATCTAAATCTAAGTAAAAATTAAGTGTCTGTAGAAGTAATTTTTTAAAATATCCTTTTTTGTGATAAAGTTTTAATACTTATTATTATAATCTAGACATGTTAATCCTTAAATATACTTGTGTTTTGGGCCACAAGTATATATTATATATACTTGTGGCCCAAACCCCTTGCTAAATTCAATTGTCATCCATTGATTTGTGTTATTCTGCTGTTATTCATTCTGTGCATTTGACACTTCTTTGAAGATGATGTCAAATCCAATGTGTTTAAAACAGTTTTTGTTCCCTTGGTTACTGTTACCCATCCAGCTTTAAGAATGTGCACTGCCTGAAGTAAGTTTTTCTTGAAAGAATGATTAGTGTGATGCTGCAATCTTCCATCAAACTAGCACTAACTTGTAGTAATGTTTGAAGTTGTGGAAAATGCCAGCGTTTATTGGTTGAGTAGGCATGGTGATGTTTGGGAGCAAGAATAGTGTAATGTTAGTTTTCTTTCAGTTGGAGGGTGTAATGGACAATTATCGATTATCGACACAAAGTTATATTTGTTTGTGGTTGTGTGCTGTTCAAGTTTTCATATGTTCTGTATAAATGGTTCTCCAATCATCCAGGACTTGTACATGACAGGGATGTACTTGCCACAAAAACATGTGGCAAGCACATCCCTGTCACATCCCAACAATGTGGCATCTTACTCTTTCCTTTTACAAACAAGGGTAGTTTTTCACTAAGTGCTCTGACATCACAAAGGATGGTGATGTGTTCTTTGGACTGGTTGCATTTGGGGCATGTAGCATCTTTGAAATTGTGAATTTTATTCAGTAATAGCCACCAAAATAACCTCTACTCATCAGCATTGAAAGTGTCTGCTAAGTTATATTGGAGTAATATTACTTGCAGAATATTGGTTTCTCAATCAGCAATATTGCTTAATGAAACTTAAGTTGACTCTTCATGCAAGAGCTTCACAACAATTGCATGTTATGATTTGAAATGGTTGATCGAATTCATGTTGATCTTACTTAACTTGTCTTCACTATATTGCATTTTTTGTGTAAATTGTTTTGCTTTTTCTTGGGGCAAAGGTCGTGATATTGATCTACTTTCTCCATGTCAAAATGTTTGAACCACATTGCCATCTTTCCAAACTCAAACTCTCTTGCAATATCATTTTTTCTGTTTTAAATTGTTGACTTATTCACACTAAATTTTTCAGCAACTTGTTTTTGCTTCCATCCACTTTTAAGCAACTGTAAAATTTCATATTTTTGTTTTAAATCCAAATCATATCTTGGCCTTTTGATTGCCATTCTTCACTTCTTAGCTCAAGGTCAAAAATGCAGTCCTTGCCAAGCAGCACATCAAGTGCATGATATGTAACCCATTTTGTTAGATGAGGGAAATCAGGTAGGGGCGTGTTCATTGTCAAAACTTGCTAATAGGTAAACTAATTTCATAGATGGTGCATGAAAATAGCTTTTTACTAGGAAAATCTTACTAAAATGCAACTTGCTATTAGCCAAGCTACTCTACTTTAAAATGTTCAGGATTTTGTTGGTGTATTAGAATATCTACTTTTAAGGGACTTTCTAATAGATGTGTTCTACTGTAATATAGCAAATTCAATAATCAGATTAACCAGAAAGTAAGCAGTATGGTTATATCTAAATTAATTAATTAATTGTTCTAAAAGTGAAGATTGGACAGAGGTCCTAGTATGATGGGAGTTGCAGGTTTGATTCCCATTCCAGGTCAATGTTTTCTTCCAAAATATTCTCAATTTATATTAAAAATTTTATTTCTAAATTTATCGTGAGATGACAATCTGACCATTGAAAGAATTTGACCTTTAGTCAAATTCTTTGAATGGCCAGCTTTTAAATGTGAAAAGAAGTTAATTTTTTAAAATTATCTATTATTGTTAATTTTAAGTTAATTAAAAATACAGTAGAGCCTCGATTATCTGACCCCCGGTTAACCGACACCTTGGTTAACCGACCGTCATAGTCGGCAAATTTCAAATGTCCTCTAGTGATGTGGCGCTACAATATTTGGCTATGTCTTGGCTACTTTAATATTATTTTTACGTGTTTTAGCTGGCAACACTCATTCGACCATGAAAGGGAGCCAGTATTTAAACGAGGCTTAATTTTCTAATTTTTAACGATATAATAGCGACGATTATTATTTTAAAAAATTTCTGTTAGGCTTAACATCGATGAAAATTTAACGCGAAGTAGGTTAATAGCGATATACAAATATACTAATATACTAATTACATGGGATATAATAATATACTACACTAATAATGGATTTTTTCATACTTTTTGGTTATCTGACTTTTCAATTATCTGACCAACCCCAATCCCCAATTGAGTCGGATAATCGAGGCTCTACTGTATATATATTTGACTAAAAGTGTTCAAAAATTTGTACTTATTTATATTATTAAATAATTATAATAAAAATTTCCAAATTTGTAAATATTTAATAAAAGTTTCATAGGTATTTTAATTTATAAATTAGTAAATTTATTAATTTTGTAAAAATTAAACTGGGTATAAAAACTTGCTTTTTATTTTATATTATCATCTAATAAAAGTGTGCTAAGTGCAACCCTATTGCACATTATAGACTCTGTAGCATATTTTTTTGAAAAAATAATGTACTTAACTTGCCATTGCTGATTAATTCAAAATTTGCTCATGGTCTGACATTGTCTCCTTATCAGTATATTTTAATTTGATAATCAGGTTAACCCTAGATAACTAATCATTCGTCCACACGACGACGCACTTCCACTTGAAAGTGAAAGTGCGTCGTCAGAAACTTTCCCGCGCTTCCTGCTGGTCATTCTTTTTCTACCGTAATAATTTGAATAAACAGTGCAGTGTGTGATGTAATTGTGTTCACACGTCAATTAGAAATTGACTTACGGCCATCCCGTAGTCTGCTCGACGAAAGTTTAGTTACTATGTAACTTTGTTGCAAAGATATGTACATTGTTATGGCTGCAGATGTAAACAGTTAGTACATGATAAATGCCTTTCCCTATTTGGGAAAAGGTACTGATCCTCAGAAACGAGTATTGGCTACGTTTTTCATAAAGGAAATAACATCTATTTTACATGAAACAAACTGTAACATTACTATGGATAACAGGTTCACATCTGTATCTTTGGCTGATGAACTATTGAAGTCACCTTATAATTTGACCTTAGTTGGCACCAGTGGCGTGCCGTCATTGGAAGCGGTGGATGCATCGTTTCCCTTGTATTTTCTAAAAAATAAATACATATTAATTTTACTTATGTGAAAATAATTGCACAATATTTTATTATAACTGCATTATGTATCTTATTACAAATTTCTATACTACACGTGAAAAAAAAGATAAGATTAATATTGTATATTCGAATATTAGTGGTGGAGTGGAAGTGCTATATCATCAGCATCCAAATAGCCAGATTTGCGCATGCCGTTTACAGAGCACCAACCTCACCCAGTTTAGCTGGTGGAAGTCTAGGACCTTGGGTGGATGCTATACGTATATTGCATCCAATTCTATCCAGGACAGGTTCAGGGCTGTTAGCCGCCTGCCTGCTAGATATTTGGCTGCCCTTGCCCGATTATGTGAATCACAAGTAGATTTATAACTTAACCCAACTGATAAGAATTTACTTGTGGGTTCTCAGACGAGGTTCGAACTCGAGTAAACCGTGAAATTCTTGCTTGACACAAGATGTAAACAACGAGACTCGGAACGGTTCGAGTATGTGTCAACTATCTGATAAGGTCTTAGCGGAAGACAAACTCTAACACGAGCGCTCATAAACAGGTAGATCTTTGACTCGCGTGTCTATAAAATGTTGGCCGAAATAAACCTTTTCGAACAAAAAATAGAGGAATTTTTGATAGGTGAAAGGTGAAAATGATCGTTAAATTCTTAGACGTCAAAAATGGTAAATAACGGCCTGAGTTATGAGTGCGGGTGTTATTATTTTATAAACAGTCATCGAGCAGAGTCGACAAAGACGTATCAGATGGACACCTCGAATCGGACCTTTCCTGCGACCCAAAAAGTTTCGTCTTGCACTTGGAGACAAAGGAGAGACCAATCGGGAAGCGAGGAATGGGACGAGGGACCAATCCGAAATGCGAACAGTGGGGGAAAAACTATAAAAATCGGAACTTCAAGGTCGAAGAAGAGTCTCCTCCGGATTAAACCTACAGTGGTGAAAAATTGTGTTGTGCATCTGCCACTCACCGAGGACACCGCAACGAAACAATGAACTTCTGCTTCATCCGGATATCCTTCTCGTCCGCCCGAACTGCGACCGAGATCACGAACTTTCGCCGTTCCCAGGAGCACCGAAATTTTGGAATTATCCTATATCGATGTAAGCATGAATTTGAACAAATAAACGGGTTTTATTTTGTAAAACACTTGTGCATCATTTGCCTCCTTCGCCACCGCCCACATACGCGGTTTCCCTTAGGCTCATTCTGACGCGAGATAGACTTTTTCCCCTTCAACGTCGGCAAACCTTACACTGGTGTCAGAAGCTCGAGATTATTTGTGTCCCACAACATTTGAGTAAGTGAGCCGACGAAAAGTTTATCTAGAAAGTGGGTTGAACGATGGAGGCTGATGCAGGTGTTCCGACGCGACCTCGAGACGGTAGCAGTAGCGGCTCTTTCTCCGCGTTCGGAGGAATGATCCCAACATTTTCGGGCGAAACGAGACGCGTGTCTGATTTTTTCGACACATTGGGAGAAATCGCAAGTTTGGCAGGATGGATGCCTCGCCAGTGTCTGAGCATTGCCAAGTGCAAGCTCATGGGCGTGGCTCGAGACTTTGCGTGGCGCGACCTGCAGATGAAATGCGTGACGGACTTCGATACTTTTAAAACACTAATGATTCAACGATTTGATCGTGAGCCGTACTCTATTAAGGTACAAAAATTCCACGCGTGTACCCAGAGGAGAGATGAAAAGGTGCAGGAGTTCGCGGTCCGCTTGCAGACTCTCGCTAGCGCAATGGCCATAGATCACACGGGTTCAAACGAACAGGAGAGCGCAGTTATTAAACGCTGTCAACAGCGAGAACTGGACGAAAAATTGCGTGTCCAATTCTTGCATGGCCTAACTGATAGACTAAAGAGGCAGGTTATGACGCACGATCCGGCGACCTTCGCCGAAGCGCTTAAAATTGCGATCCGCAAAGAGACGATAGATCAATTAGCAGGAAAAACGCGGAGTTTAGTCGCCAGTGTAGGCGATACCATAGATAATTGTGACGCTCAGTCAGAGGAGGCCAATTCACGGAGAGAATCGGCTTTCAACACTAAAATCGCACAACTTTCGAAGCAATTAGTCACATTAGGGAAAAGATTAGATCAACAGCCTACGCGTCAGCAAACAAACGGCTTCCGACGAGAACCCTCGCGAACCAATCGAACCCAAGAAGCTGAAAGGGCGAACAATGGGATGCGAAATCCGCGCTATCCCCCAAGCCCGCAGCGTCGTACACCGCAACAGTTTTCCCCGCGATCATCGCTAGCCTTCCCGCGACGACAACCCCGCATGCGTTACCCCTTTTACAATCAATACTCGGAACAAGGCCCAATTTTTCCGTGGAGAGGAAACGAAGAACGATATTTACAAAACTTTTCGCCGAATTTGAATCCATGGGAGTATGTCCCATTACCACCCGAATGGTATGGAGGAAACATCCCTCCGCCATATCAGGGAAGGTGGGGAGCGAAACGCGACGCTTCCGAATGGGCAGTCCCCACACGAAATGTACGGAACCCTTTTCAAACCCATCAGTCAGGACAAATACCATTTTATCAGGCGCGATTCGGGCAATTCGAACCCGAAAGTAGCGGACATTTTGCGCCCTTTCCCTTTTATCCACCGCGTGATAGTCAGTGTAGTACAGGTAGTGGCTTCGAAGCCGAACGAACGCCATCCAACGCGACCCCTTCCAGATTTTTAGCTTTACCCGCGCCAGAACGTAGCTCATCAGAAAATAAACAATCGCGAAATTTAGATAGAGTCACATCGGTACAATTTCGAGAACGAAACTGCTATGTAGAACGGCCTCCGGAAGGGCCAATTCAAACCCCATTAGCGGGAATAAACGAATCGAAAGGTAGAAAATTGCCTCCCTGCACGATGATTTGCGAAATCGAGGATAAAGAGGTACGGTTGACAATAGATACGGGCGCAGCCGTTACCCTAATATCACGAAACCTTTTCCCTAACATAGAACAATTACCGCGAGCCGAAACGAGAACGGTAGAATTAGTTAGCGTTACCGGTCACATTATAGAGACCATTGGGAAGTTTAGGTTAAAATTCAGAATCGGACGATTAGTCTTTTATCATGATTGTTATTTGGTAAGGCCCGAAATCACCGAGCCGAACGACGGAATTTTTGGGAGAGACATCATCGAATTATATGATGTCACAATTTCGGTTAGAAACGCAACACTTAGCTTCCCCTCGGGCGATATTGTGTCATTTTGGGGTTTGGCCGAGATAAAGGAAACAGCCACCCGTCCTAGTTCAAAAGAAGCTAACGAAAATAGTCTTAAGCAAATTGACACAGACACACGTGAGTTGACAAGAGACGATTTAAATTCAACGCCAATTAGCAAAAACGAGAATAAAACAAAAAGGGATGCGGAAACGAAAAAGAAAAATAAACGCGCACGAAATAACAGGCGAAAAATAAAACGGGAGAAGTCAAAACAAACAACCGTTAAAAGTTTAGGACAGGGAGAGAACAACTCTCCTAAGGAAGTGACGTTAGCTGAAGATTACGTCATTCCCCCGCGGTCAGAGGTCATCGTGGAAGGGAAAGTCCACTCTCCGGTGACTAATCAAGTGGGAGTCATTGAACCGACACCTCCCGATAGTGAGGGAGTGTTTATTGCTAGTACGTTAGTCAAAACACGGAGGCGTGGCAAAGTACCTGTAAGGATAATGAACGTGAAAACACAACCCGTTAAGATTAAAAAGGGGAATAAAATAGGAATCTTTCTTTTAGCAGAAGAGGAAACAAAGGAAAATGCAGAGCGGAATAAAATTACGCGATCAAATGAAATAGAGTTAACAAGAGCTCAATTTGCGAATTTATTTGACTTTAGTGAAGTAGGGAAGGATAAGTTGACCCCTTTGTTAGATTTATTATACAAATATAAACACGTGTTTGCGAAAGACGATTTCGACTTGGGCTATTGCGATTTAGTGGAGCACAAAATAGACACAGGGAACAGTCCCCCGGTTTGTCGTGCCCCTTACCGAATTCCGTATGCGCAACGGGAAATAATGGATGAAATAGTGGAAAATATGATTAAAAGTGGAGTAGTTGAACCGTCCAGCTCCCCCTGGTCGGCGCCTGCGTTATTAGTTGCAAAAAAACCCCAAGGGTATAGATTAGTCGTGGATTATAGACAATTAAATAAACTTACCAAAATAGACCCGTACCCATTGCCCCATATTCAGGAATCATTGAGTTTATTGGGAAGATCGCGATATTTTACTTCCATGGATACATTAAGTGGATTTTGGCAGTTGCCTCTGAGTCCTGAATCAAAGGAAAAGACGGGGTTCAGCACTCCTTCGGGGCACTATCAATACAATCGTATGCCAATGGGCGTGACCTGTGCCCCAGCTACATTCCAAAAATGCGCGAATTTGATATTAAGTGGCTTGAAAAACAAAATTTGCCTCGTCTATATGGACGACATTTTAGTATTTAGTCCAGACTTTAAATTGCACCTAGAAAGGTTGGAAATGGTCCTTCAGCGCTTGGCGACAGCGGGACTGAAGCTGAAGCCCCGAAAATGCCAACTGCTGAGGCGGCAGATAAAATTCTTGGGGCACGAAGTGTCGGAAGAAGGAATCCGACCTGACCCAGCGAAAATAGAATGCGTTAGAAATTTCCCCCAACCTAAGAATGAGCGAGATGTTAGAGCATTCCTGGGACTGACAGGGTATTATCGGCGTCATATATCACAATATGCTAAGATTTCAAAGCCTCTTTCAGACTTATTGAAGGTCGATGTAAAGTTTCACTGGGGCGAGGAACACAAAGTCGCGTTCGAAAAGCTAAAGGAAATTTTGATAACAGCACCCCTATTAAGATCCCCAGACTTTGGTAGTCCATTTGTGTTAGCGACAGATGCCTCAAACGTCGCGATAGGTGCCGTGTTGTCACAGGAAGATGAGCGTGGAGAACTCCCAGTGGCATATGCTAGTAGACTGTTAAAGCCGGCAGAAAGGAATTATAGTACTACAGAGAAGGAATGTCTGGCCGTGATTTGGTCAATTAAGCATTTTAGACCATACCTGTATGGGAAAAAGTTTAAAATAATTACAGATCATAGACCCCTTAGGTGGCTCATAAACGTTAAAGATGAAAGCTCAAGACTTAGTCGTTGGAATTTAGCATTACAGGAATACCAATTCGAGATAATACACAAACCGGGAAAAGCACATACCAATGCAGATGCGCTTAGCAGAATGCCCGTGGCTAAGATTTGTGAAATGCAACCCATATACAGTAAAGAACAAGTTAGGGAACAACAGCAAAAAGATCCCTTTTGTAGTCAAGTAAAGAAACAATTAATGGGAGACCCATCCTCACGAGATACAAACTTAGATGCAACAAACTTTTATTTAGATGCAGATCAAACCCTTTATCATAGGAAAACGATACCGGAAAGGAACGAAGTATGGGATAGACTAGTGATTCCCCAAATAATGATAGAATATATTTTGAAATTGTTTCACGACATTCCCAGCTCAGGACACTTAGGTGCTAAAAAAATGCGTAAGAAATTACAAAACCAGTTTTATTGGCCAGAAATGAACAAACATATTACGCACTACTGCGATAGTTGTCAGGAATGCGCGATAAGGAGAAGACCCCTGCATGGTCATCAAGCCCCTTTGCAGACGTTTCCGAAGATATCGAGACTTTTCGAGCGTACTGCATTAGATATTCAGGGTCCACTCCCCACTACTCATAACGGAAACAAATACCTATTAGTCTTTGTCGATCACTTCTCTAGATGGGCAGAAGCAATCCCGTTACCCGATATTACCGCCAAAACAGTGGCGAAGGCATTCGTAACCCAAATTATTCTAAGACATTCGGTCCCAAGACAATTACTTACCGATAGAGGATCTAACTTCGTATCCAAAGTTATGAAGGAAGTCTGCGAATTGTTACACGTAGAAAGGCTCCTTACAACAGCGTACCACCCCCAATGTAACGGCATGGTCGAACGATTGAATAAAACTCTCATAGACATCTTGACTCATTATGTTGACGCAGATCAGCGCAATTGGGATGAAATGATCCCTTATGCTCTTTTCGCTTATAATACTACCGTGCATTCGAGCACAAATGAGACCCCCTTTTTCCTTTTATATGGACGCGATCCGACTTATCCCTTTGATATCGTTACCGAACCAAATAAACCCCGATATGACGTAAGCGAAAATTATGCGAGCGAACTAAGAGTGAGGTTGGCCTCAGCCCACAAGATAGCTCAGGAACACGCGGAAAAAGCTGCGAACGACAGGAATACCTATCATCAACGTAAGCACAAGCCGTACAAATTTGCGATAGGCGATAGAGTCTTCGTCAATGAAGTGGCTATCCCCACAGGATTGAAACGAAAATTAGCGCCGCGATGGCACGGTCCCTATAGAATAGTTGCAGAAACGAGTCCCGTAGATTTTGTAGTTCAGCATGTTCATTCCGGGAAACAATTGCACACACACGCGAATCGGATGAAGCCGGCAATCGCAAGGATGGAATTTGTAACGCCTGATGCAGGCAGAGAGGATGCTGACACAGCAGACACAGATATCCCTCCTCTAACGGCAAAACAACCACAAGTAGAATGCGTTGACCCCTGGGACGAGATCATTTTAGAAGCACTCCAAAACAATTCGCCCGATCCAAAAGATACCGCGGAAAGAACAGAGATCGAGCGACCCGTGACCCCTCCTCCTCAAACCTCACACCGATACGCTCTCCGGAGTCAAGGACCTGTGAGTGAATATCCCTGGGTACTTCCCAAATCGTCGGGAAATATTCAGCCGAAGGTGACGACGGTGCGAGACGCGGATGTTCCCGGGACTTCTCAACAGAGGGAGGACCCCCCGCGACTGCTACCGTTCGCTCCTACCGGTCTATTTACCCATTGTAAATGGTAGCTTCTCTTTCTCGTGGAAGAGAGGTTGTCATCTTCCGGATGGAAAGAGGTCAATTGTAAATACGCGTACGCTTTCAAATTTATTGTCGCGAAGTCAGAAATGGTAGTAATGTGAACTTCCTTTTTGGTAGATAACGATGGGAAAATTCATAACGATTCGTTTGATTATGCTGATAAGTTGCATTGTATACGAAACACCGGCCTTGGTACCCGCCTTGACTAAAGGAATTATATTCCTACCACAAGGGAACTTCCTTATGACAACGAGTCAGTGGACTATAGCGTTAGAAATAACTTTTGACAAATACGACGAATACCTTCGCGATCTACACCGTCATTTAACGGCTCTAACTCCCGTAGTTAAAAATGGAGCGCAAAAGAAGGAGGATCCTATGCGACCCCTATGGACTTTAGCGGATGCGGAACTAGCAAACCTAAAACAATCTCTCGCCGACTTCGAGGCGGAGTATAAGGAATTAAAGTCCACGGTCACTATAAACGATTCTCCCCGAGAAAAACGAGGATTAATCGATGTCGGAGGAAAGGTGTTAAAATTCCTCTTTGGAACAGCCACCTCAGAAGAAATAAAAGCAACAAATAGTCGGATAGACAGTTTATCCGAAAATCAACAGAAAATCGTACACATCTTGGAAGCACAGACAACCGTCATAAATCAAACCCTTCAAGCGGTCAAGGACAACCGGAAGTATGTCGACATGATGATTCGACGACAGGATTACTTAGATCGAGAGCTTCAAGTGTTCAGTTACACCTTTGTTGTTAGTACAGCACTTCGATATGCCGAAGATGCAGTAATGGAATTCCGAATCAGTGTTACAAATTTACGACAAGCTATCGAGATGTTGGAAAATCACCGACTCAGCTCTCACTTTTTGTCAAGGTCACAACTGTTAGAGACGTTGACAGAAGTAAACAAACACTTGCCTGGAGGAATCTCATTGATAGAAACATTAAACGAAGACAACGTCTTTAAGTATTACCAGTGGATTACAACTACAGCTGTAGCACTCCCGTCAACTCTAAGAATTTTTGCAAAATTCCCATTAGTCACTCCTGAAGGCTATTTTGATTTGTATGAAACGGTAAAATTTCCTGCATATTTTCCCGATTCCAAAACATTCGCTCATTATCAAGTCGATTTTCCCTATATAGCACTGTCAAGAGACCGACAGCTTTATATGTTATTGGAAGCCCATGACTTACAGAAGTGTAAAACAGGATTAACAACGATCTGCGCACCGGAAGTCGCGGTGTGGAAGCTTCCTTATCGAGCATGTGAATATGCCCTGTTTATGGCAGATGAGCCGACTGTTAATAAATTATGTAGGAGAAGAGTTACCGTTTTTCCAAAACCGATGTTTCGTCGCATCGATGAAGAGGGGACTTGGATATATTCCACCCCGACGCCTTTAAATTTAGTTATAGAATGTAGTCAACTCGGTAGTTCCATACAACCACCAGTCAAAATGATCAAATTGAATAATTCAGGAATTTTTAAATTGCCCATGACTTGTATCGGACACGTACCCGGTATACGTCTTACGTCTCACTTTCAAGCACGGACCACATTCAAGGTCGCCCTTCGAAATCATTACGTTATACCAGCGATAACCGATATTCTCAATCTTACGGAGATTAAGATCTTACGAGAATACATCCAGAAAAACGTTACATCGAACATCCTCCAAACTAATGAACGCGATTGGTCATTGGAATTTTCTGGACGGATACTTCGAGATATAAGTCATGAAATAAGATCGATTAAAACCGAAACCGCCTTTCCGAATACACCAAATGTAAGAACCTATCTATTTTCCACGTGGAATCTGACACTCATAACCCCTATTGTCGTCATCGTTGCTGCCCTCGTGATTTTTGGGAGCTGTCGCAAACGATCAAGCTGTTTAAGGAAACGAAGACCAGCGATCACCTATCCAGTGCACCGACAGGAAAATCGAGTGGAATCGACTCCTATGGAAATGATTGAGTTGATGCCGGTAACCTTTGAGACGAGTCCGCCTTCGAAGGCTCTAGAAACGTTAGAGGTTAATCAACCGATGTTGATGAGACCCGAACGGGAAGAATCCATTATACTACCCGTCGGAGTCGAAACTATTCCTACTCAAATGAGGCATTTATGAAAATAAGGCGGAGGAACCTCGCACCTTCGAAAATATATCCTAACTCGTGTAATTTTCTATTAAATCGTCGGTCAGTCAAAGAACCGAGACTCAACTAGCTTTCTTTTTCCTTTCTTTAGAATCAAAGAATAATCAATGGAGAAGCAGAAAACGTCACCTTCTACCGAGACGTCGAATACAGAGAGGTCTCGCACCCCAAGTACAACGACAGATCCGGCTCTCTTGGCCTTGTTCAGATGTCCAGTGTGCTTCGACCAAATGTCTCCGCCAGTATATCAATGTCCCGCAGGACATGTAATTTGTTCTTGGTGTAAACCAAAGGTACACAACTGTCCGACTTGTCGAGGAGACATGGGAAACCATCGAAATCTTGTGTTAGAACAGTTAGGAGAAATTGTCGCATTGCCGTGCAGATTTAAAGATAACGGATGTCCAGAGATACAACTCTCACGTGAGAGGAAAGCCCACGAGAGATTCTGCGCTTACCGTACCTGTGCATGCCCTTCGATGGAACCAACCTGTCATTGGGAAGGAACACATTACCAAATAATAAAACATATCAACGATACCCACTCCGCTCTGCTCTCTCTCTCGAACATCCCTCAGTCCGATTAAATATAGTAGGATTGGAACTACCCCACTCTTTGAAATGGGCGATCCGTCTTTACTGTCATCAACATTATTTTGTTGTTCAATTAATCAAAATGGAAACTGAAAATGATGCCTTTCTGCTGTATGCCATCGTTAGAATGGTGGGATGTCGTAAAAATGCTACCTACTTCCGTGGAAGGATTGAAATACGAGGGAGGGGACGACTTCTGCTCTGGGAATCAATACCCCGAAGCGTAACCGGTAGTCTTGAACATATTACATCAACGGGAGATTGCATGACTTTACATTCGAAAATGTTGGAACGAATGTTAGAAGAAAAAATCTTAACCGTAATCGTACATATATACCCCGCGAAAAAACGACATTCCGAAGAGGAACTCGAACCGGAGGGAGAATAATAGTTCTTTTATACAGTAAACAACGCGACTCGCGTACTCTGAGTAAAAGAGACCGAACATTAAGACCACTTCCCTTTGTGTTTCTGTAGACTCATTCCATTATGGCCGAAGCATTTTGGTGGGAACCCGATTTCGAGCAGTTCGAAGAGGAACCGGACGCCCCGCCGGAAAGAATAGTACCTCCGGTAGACCAAGAAATTATTCAAAACGCCATTCGGCGAATCCAGATCTCTACTTCCCATTCCCGACATCCAGAGCTGCTCGTTCTACCTCTAGGAGCGGATCCGTCCCCCGATTTGCAGGAGAAAATAAAAACAATAACAACCCTCGCCACGAAAAAGGCAAAACAAATTCAAAAGAAGAAGGAAAATAGGGAAACCAGCGAGAGAACAGGAGACAACCCTTCGAAAAACCTTTCGACAACAGAGAAAAAATTTGGAGCCTTTCCTTCCAGGCCCCAAACGGGCGTAGGACGAGGCCAAAGATTGTTAGAGACTTTACGGCAACATCTACGAGAACGAGAATGAGAACAGGGACAATTGACCGAGTCAGAAACAAATCAACATCTTCAGAAATAGACCAAAAATATTCAATTACGACGCCCTACTTAATCAGGGGGCACAGATCTAGAAAAATAAGGACTGTGAAGCGACAAAAGCACACTCCAAGGTTCTATTTGTTTCGCTTTCTGCTAAATTAGTTATTTTGTTGAATTATCCCATATGTTATCGAATATGTTATCTTATATGTTATCCCATATGTTAACGAATATGTTATCTTATATGTTATCCCATATGTTAATCTTTCCCATTATTCACTATTATCAATAAATGAAAGTATTGAAATTTTTAATGTAAAAGGAAGTATTGTCATTAAAACTAAAACGGGGAACATTGAGTAAATCTGAGATCGAAAATGTGATCTCTAAATGGAAAAAAAAGGTGTTACAAAAAAGTGACCAAGGTTATATTCGACTAACCTATGTTCAAAACAATGAAATATAATTCACGGTAAAATGTTCTTTCGCATGTACGGTCATTTTCGGATGAACAAGAGTGCGGACTGAAGGCTCTGGGAGCTGTCAGCTAAAATGCTGCTAAATTACTAAACCGAGCAGCATTTTAAAAAGGCAGAGAGCACTGTGGGTTCCCAGACGAGGTTCGAACTCGAGTAAACCGTGAAATTCTTGCTCGACACGAGATGTAAACAACGAGACTCGGAACGGTTCGAGTATGTGTCAACTATCTGTTAATGTCTTAGCGGAAGACAAACTCTAACACGAGCGCTCATAAACAGGTAGATCTTTGACTCGCGTGTCTATAAAATGTTGGCCGAAATAAACCTTTTCGAACAAAAAATAGAGGAATTTTTGATAGGTGAAAGGTGAAAATGATCGTTAAATTCTTAGACGTCAAAAATGGTAAATATCGGCCTGAGTTATGAGTGCGAGTGTTATTATTTTATAAACAGTCATCGAGCAGAGTCGACAAAGACGTATCAGATGGACACCTCGAATCGGACCTTTCCCGTGACCCGAAAAGTTTCGTCTTGCACCTGGAGACAAAGGAGAGACCAATCGGGAAGCGAGGAATGGGACGAGGGACCAATCCGAAATGCGAATAGTGGGGGAAAAACTATAAAAATCGGAACTTCAAGATCGAAGAAGAGTCTCCTCCGGATTAAACCTACAGTGGTGAAAAATTGTGTTGTGCATCCGCTGCTCACCGAGGATACCGCAACGAAACAACGAACTTCTGCTTCGTCCGGATATCCTTCTCGTCCGCCCGAACTGCGACCGAGATCACGAACTTTCGCCGTTCCCAGGAGCACCGAAATTTTGGAATTATCCTATATCGATGTAAGCATGAATTCGAACAATTAAACAGGTTTTATTTTGTAAAACACTTGTGCATCATTTGCCTCCTTCGCCACCGCCCACATACGCGGTTTCC